CTGAACATTCCTCATCTTGTTACGCTCTTACTTTTCGGGTTTCTTTGTTGCCGCGGTGTTACTCGTTTCCCTTAGTTCTTCACTTTTTAATTCGCTTTGTCACAAAACTTCCATTTATTCTATCTTATCTTTGCTTTTGAATAAATTTTTTGATAGCCGAGATTAAATGAGTAGAACGTTGCAGCCGTATTTACCTTGAATCGAGTAGTTTATGTAAATGGGTTTTTTACTGAACTTGACGATATTTTCCTTCTTAGATCACCATGCAGAATACAAATCCCATGGGTAATCCGGTAAGCTGTTTTTTTTTTGTTTCACTTCGCTTTTTTTTTGTTTTTGCTTCCTTTTGGCAGGAATTTTATGTTTAGAATATGCCACCTGGTGGGTATGCGCCACCAAATCAGGGACAACTACAGCCTGGTATGGGATATTATGGTCAACCAGGACCTGGTCAAGCCCAGCAAGCTCCAATGGGCATGTCTGGTCAGCAAATGATGAGTAAGTGCGCTTCTTTTTTCGATTTTAATATGAGAATTCATGATCATTTTTATGGCTGCCAATTTAGTGGGTAGTGGTTCTTCTGGAATGCCAATGGGCTATCAAGGTGGCGTACCGCCCATGATGCCGCAACAACCTGTTCAACCAGCTCCACAACCGTCGATGATGCAGCAAGCCATGTTTGGAGCGCAAGGAGCTCTGGGTAGGTTTCTGTTCATGCGATTAAAAAATTGATATCACATAACGATCGAATCTCTTCAGCATCAGTATCTCGACCGTATTCTGGCGCTTCAGCCCCAGCGCCATCACCATATTCTGGCTCTTCAGCTATGCCAGTAGGAATGGGAGGAGTGCAAGGTCCAGGTCCCCAACCGCCGTACACTGGTCAGCCGCAACCAACACAGCAACAGCAGCAAGCATCTGCTGCAGGTTTCGTAGGTCAGCAACAACAGCCATCGGGAGCACCCACACAGCAGAGTTATGCTTATTCACATAGGTTCGTGTACAACCTTCGATTGTGCTTCACCACTCGCGTCTCACTTGTTTTCTCATTCATTTCTCTATCATACACTTAAAGTGACCTAAAACAAGTGAACTTTTATGTCATATGCAATGTAAGGTTTCCTTTAGTACTATTTTAGTTTGAGAATACTGGCTGAACAAACAGATGGGCGAGGTCATGATTTTGTACCTTATCTAGTATGTAATGTTATTTGGACATTTTATTGAGGTATTGATTATGGTATGCATAACAATTAATCTC